TGTTTGCCAAAAATTTGATCTAACCATAATTTTCTACAAGGTTAAATGATCATTTTGGTATTTTGTGCACATTTTTGATCTTTCAACTCTAAGAAATGCATAATGTTTGTTCTTCCGTCACTTAGGACCGTTAACTTCGCCCATGGGACATTTTTTATATTTTTTTTGATGATATGGCAAAAGGAACTTAAAAAGATAATGATTTGGATTTTTTTTATGACATGTCATAATGCCAACTCATATTAGTATTTATATTTTTAATAAAAAATAAAAACTACAAACTTACCTTAATACCCTATCTTCCTTTCTTGATCCATCTTCTTCCCCTTTTTCGATTCATCTTCTTCCTTTCTTTCTTCCTCTTCTTCCTCTTCCTCCTCTATGTTGTTGGGTTCTGTCGAACCCAGAAACTAGATTTGCTGGGTTTGAGGAACCCAACAACTGGGTTTGAGGAACCCAGCAACTGGGTTCCACCAAACCTAGCTCTACTCTTTTTTTTTTGTTATATATTTGTTGCAAAGAGTTTATGCAAATTGCAGGTTGTGAGGGATTTTTGGGATCCTTTCGCTGAGTTTATGCAAATTGCAGGTTGTGAAGGAATTTTGGGTTCCTTTTGCTTCATATTTCGTAACTATTGTCTAAATGATTTTAATGTTCAAAATGGAAAGAACAGAAACAGTGACCGATAGGCAAAGAAGCAATTTTTAGTGGGTTTCCATTTGTTTGGCTAGAAAATTGTACAGTTTGGGTATTTGGCTATTGAGAAAATGGTTTCAATTTGTTTTGTTAAGAAAATTTGATGAGGAAATTGTGATTTAATTATAAATTAATTTAGAATCTCAATTTTGATTAACATAAGTAATTATAATTTAATGATGATTAATTAGTGAAATATGTGAAAAATCTTTGGAATCACTTTATAAGAAAATCTCTACAATCTCATAAAAAAATCTGGGTTTGGGTTCCAAGACAATTTTTGTTCTATAAGTTTTTAGATTTTTTTTACTGCTGAAAGAGAAACCCAAAAGATATCTTGGTTTTTGCAGGAAACATAGGATCCATTGGAGGGGTTTTGGCATAGGAAGATGATATGTCATAAAAAAAAAAAAAAAAAAGCCCAGATCAATACCTTTTTAAATTTTCTTCTTCATGTCATCAAAAAAAGATAAAAAAATGCCACGTGGCAGAGTTAATGGCTCAAATTGACGGAAAAACAAACGTTATGCATTTCTTAGAGTTGAAAGATAAAAAATGTGCACAAAATACTTTAAAGACCAAAAATATGCAAACCAATAAAGTTGAGGAACCAAAATGAGCATTTAACCTTTCTACAACTTCTGTCCTGTCATACTTGACCAAATCAAATGAATTCTCAACAGCTTTAAATCGTTCCTTGCAAAACAAACTTCTACCACATGTTGCCAAAAACAAAATTTTAGTTGCTAAAAATCCGTAAAATCGTGCTTGGTTTAATTGTTTTTTATTTTCCACAACTAAACCGAACTATTTAGCAATAT